TTTTTTTTCTAGCTCGGATTCTGACATGTGTCATTGCTCAGAAGTGTTGACGTGAGAAAATGGAAGAAACTTTTTTGATTCAGAGAACCTCATGCGCAATTTGTGGAGACCTGGTGATGGAACTGTGCACAGCTCTTGTCCTGTAACCCTAGCTGTCTAGCTGTGGTCTGACGTGATCCATCAAGTAATATCACAATTGAGTACTTTCTACCATTGTTGCGGAGGTGAATTAAAAACGTGACGGTAACCAAGCGTTTTCCAATAGCAGCGACTCCTTATACAGGGGGGGACAATGCCCTCACTGTTGTAGCAGTAGATGATTTGTTCTTTAATGAAATCGCTTTATACTCTATTATACCGCTCGATGAATCTCTAATTTAACACAAAACCAATAATACTCCGACCAGAAGACCTTACTGGTAGGCTTTCGCATTTTTTGATTAATTTGAGTAATGTGGACATCTACAGTTCTCCAATCCTTACAAGCCAGATGGATTACCACACATTTTTGGGTATATATAATTAGTTGTATTTCTTTCACATGGAATTTCTGAAATGATTAGCTTTAATACAAAGCCAGCACTTTGTGGGCACTTGACTCGCTCAATTAAAGAAGTCAGCTCTCAGTCAATGCTGCTTTGAAACCCTAATCTGTATAAAATTTTTGGTTTCCTCCCCTTTCGAACATGAGATCAAAGACCTGGAGGAGAGTATTATTCTGTCTGTGCCTTTTTTGCGTAAAACTGCTGAAAGTGGCATTGTTAAAGTGTTAATGCTTTCATACAAAAAGATGGTTTCAAGCTTTTATTGCCCACTTATTCACTGGCGGAATATTATATGCATACTAATTTGCATATCATTTCAGGTGGCAGGGGCTGTCTTGAAGCTGAGGAATTTCATTTGTAATTGGTCTGCTCAGACGTTTATGAAGTCAGTAAGTGCCATGTTTTTAAGGGTAATTTATTTGTATATATATCGCGCGTCATTATGACATTAATAGGATGTAAATGCATGTGTAATTCACCCAGAGCATGTATTGATATGGCACTTTAAGCATATTTTGTCTTCAGTATTGTTCTCTGGATATTTTTATTTTATAGCTGTAGCATCAAAAAAAAAAAAATTGGTGTGAGCCACAGAAGGTGTTTATTTGATGATGCTAAGCACACATTGGTGTACCTTATCAAATTAACGACAGAAAATGTGTATCTGTGTATCCAGCCAAATGATTGCTTGTAGAGTTAAGCCATTTTTGTTCTGTGGTATGTAATACCGTAATGTAATATTCTTCATTCATACCAAATTTATAGTAACACTATAGATTATTGGTGATCTAGTAGCACAGCTGTGGGCAGAAACCATCCCATGGCTACTCGGTATGGCGTTCCCGGGCTTAAAGTAATATTCTGACTCGTTGAGATCTATTTTAGAGTGAGACTTACAAATACAGCATCCAAAAAAGTTTTTGTTGATGGAGAATGAGATCTGCAGTTTTTTTTTTTCAGTGACCAGCCCCCACCCCCCACACACACACACACACACACAGGGGGATCATCTCCAAAGCGGTACAGACGAGGCAGGAAACTGCTGTGTGGGCGTCGTTCATTAAAGTTCATTAAAAACAGGCGTGCGGGATAGGGGGCCTGTGAGACTGCCGGCATTTGAGGTTCGGTTCTGCGCAGATCTGCCTGCCGGTGAAAGCAGGTTTGTCGTTCCCCCGTGCAAAGAGTGGACAGAGTGTGTGCCTGTGCGTGTATGCGTGTGTGAGACCGTCCTTGCCTTGCCTGCAAGCCACTAGCAGGGCCTTACAAGTGAGACCGGGGGCCCTGTAACATGGTTCCTCCCTGCTATCCTTCCTCTTTCATCCTGTTTTGTAATTTTAGACGCGTCCTTTACAGGAAAGCTTCGTCATGGATCCATAGACGGATTGCACTCTGTTAGTCCCCTGTGTGTGCACATGACAGCAGATGAATGTATTGGTGCCCACATATTTAAGAGAATATCACAATATCACATGTTACATTAGTATAAGCTGTAACTGAGGTTCTTGTGATCTCCGTTCAGCAAATAGTAAGCAATAAAACCATTCATACAAAATAATCGTTAATCACATAACAGCCTGTGATTGCATGCTTTGCAAGAACATAACTCAAAGTAAATACATATCTACACAGAAGACATTTAGGATCGTAGTAGGCATCATATACATTTAATTTTACTGGGTTTATCATTAATGAAGCTGTTTGTAAGATTATATATAAGGGATCGTTTTCTCAGCCAATAACAATCCATCCAGATTTGTCAGGATGTTTCCAGATCTGTCAACCATGAAACTCTATAGCATCAAACAGGAGCAGTACCATATCATGTGCTTTCATCGTCCACGTAGCGTGCTCCTAAAGCCAACAACATAGTCAGCTGGATCCAGTTATATGAATTTTTATGAGTATATTACTTAATCAGTGTTGTACAGTTAGCATACCCAAGCAGAAATCTGAAGGCAGGGCAATTTAGAACATGAGCGAATTCTTGTCAAAGTTGCTGTTTATGTCCTGATGATTTTTTGTAATTTCAACTGCAAAAAAAATATTAATGTCACATTGTATCAAACACACAGTACCCTTTGATCGTATTGACATTGTATTAAGTCGCTCTGGACTCATCTGTCCAACAAACCCCTTTGTCTTTGTGGTTACAGTTGGGTTTGTGCGCCTAGCTGTCAAAAGCATCTCGCATCATATAGAACATTCTGGAGACCGACTGAAAAAATGACCTGCTAAGTTTGAAACTCACCTCAGCGAAAGGGACTGACTCCCCTGTCGGATTCGTAGGGGATATGAATCCGTTCACAGAAACGGACTCTTTACATTTCTAAATACATCAACTGTAGGCTTGCATATCTACCAGATTCAATGCGTGCCAGTTCCAAACGTGGAATGGCAGCTAATTACGTTAATTTAAATAAGAGTGTTAACATTTGATATTGTAAATGAGAGCATAATTATTTGCTCTTCCCTAATTAAGCATGCTTCTCTCCTTTGTATTCCCACCTGAGACAGGTGGTAAAATGTTTACCAGCATAGATAAATGTGTTTTCAGCACCGTGTGTAGGCAAGCCTCATTGGGTGCTAGATGAATGCGTTTGTTGTTTTGTTTTTGATGAAGGGGTGATTAATTTTGAATCTGAAAGATATTTAATTGAGCAGTTTAGGCTTGAAAGCCAATGAATGCTGCAAATAGTTTCTGAAATGCTTAACACTGCCAGTCTCTAGCTATACATACAGTCCTTATAGGTACATCGTGATTGAAAATATACTAGTTTTCAAAATTTAAATTGCCAGGGGTCTTGGGGTATTTTGAAACAGATTTAAAAATAATGAACATGTCTCAAATGCAGATTCCATGAAAAAAGTTAATATTTTACCAGTCAAGAAAAATAATAGTCGAAGCCAAAGAAGTATTTGGCTCGACTTTCTATCAAAGGAGCGGAACCTGCTCTTAAATGAATACAGAAAATGATGGGGCTTAAGTCAAGGGTGGAGCAGGGCTTCTCATCTCTCAGTCTGGGGAGTTACGATTCAGCAGCTATTCCAGCTCTCCTTAAAATATTAACACAACCAGGAGTAGGGAGAGAGGGGCTCAACGAGTTCAGTGAAGACACTCATTAGTTGAGTGAGGAGGTTGGAGTGCCTGGCTGGAAGTGAAAGCCCGAAAGACACTGCAGCCCTGCAGGTTGAGTAGAAAAGGGTATAGGATCATACAAACGGACATGATATTGCAAACAGTCCGCGTTGCCTCGCGAACGGCGGCTTATATATGACATGTCATCTTTGAGCCTCTGGGTATTCACTGATGTAATTCACGTTAAGTACCTTGCTTTATGTAATTACGGTCAAGTACCTTGCTCAAAGGTAGAGCAGCTGCCCCCCGCTAGAGATTTCACTCGCTTTATGTGGCGGCATACGATGTCTACTCAACTGCTGAATGAATTTCCCCTTGAATGCGGCAGGAGGTGAATATCTTCATTAGTCTGACACAGATTTCTGATGCTCGGTGTATTAATGCGTTGAGAGTGGGTCTTTTCTGCAGCAGACATTCTGGAATTCAGACACTACAGAGCCCTTGTGATCGCTTCAGTTAGCGACCGAGAAGTTCATTTGGCTTGGCAAGTAGTAAGAACAGTTGGAAGGTTTTTGTTCCTCTTGAGCTACAACTGAAGCTCAAGAGGAGCCCGGCAAAGGCTATTATTGATTTTCAAAACAATATAGTTAGTATCAGGTTTATTTTTAATTGTATGCAAAGTTACATTTAAGGAAAGTGTTTAAAAGTCAAGTTAGGTGATACTGAATGCCAAATATCATACATTGTGGGCATTGTCTTGAATTCACACAGATTTTTTTTTCGCAAAATATCTCCACAAATGCTCTGTAGGCCACAGACGGATTAATGTGAAACTCAAGGACTTGATGGAAGGGAACGCTTTGTAAAAGTGGCTGGCCCTAGAGACATTAATGAGACTACATTGGATTCTCTCTCCGTCCACTTGAATAGATGACAATCAGCTCATCGCGTCTTTTAAAACCTTTTACGACGGTGTGGTAGAGTGCTAGCGTTTTTTTTTTTTTTTTTTTTTAAACAGAAAGGGAGCGTGACGTCATATTTACAACCATTACTGAAGTTTGCTTGCCGTCAGAGTCCGTCAGCTTCAGTCGTTCTGGCTTTGGCATTATGTATTCAGATCATTCGTTTGGCGATTGTAGAATGGTTGAGGAGGAAGTGAGAAGTAGACCCTGTGGATTTTATATCCTTGTCAAGTCCCTGTTCAGTTAGTGGGATGTGCCCAGAACTGAAGCTGGTGAATGAGAGCAGCGTTTTCCTCATTACATTACAGTCATTAACTGATGCTTTTATCCAAAAGGACTTAGAGTTGATTAGGCTAACCGAGTAAACCCACTGTGGGGTTGGGGGCCTCACTCAGGGGCCCAGCAGCACTGGTGTTCTGTGGCTGGACTGGGGCTTGAACCACCAACCTCAGGAGTACTTGTCAGGCACCTTAACCACTAGACCACAGGCAAGAAGATAGCAATAAGAGAGATGTTTGTTGAGTAGGATCAAAGGAGGGATGAAGGAGAATCGGCCAGATTGGTCAGTTTGGACAGTTGTTTACCTTTTTTGTTTCTCCTACAACCATCATTCTGCTATAATGATAGGTCACCTTCAAAGACAAATATATTAAACAAGTTATTATTTCAGACACAGGTTTATGACTGTTTCAGTTCCTTTTCACATAGAGAACTGTGACTTGTAACTTGTAACTCAACACAAGGCCTGATGGAGGCAGAATGTACCGATCATTGTCTTACACGCTGCCTTCTAAAAAGCATAAATACTCCTGAGTTATAATCACACGCAAGTTGCCAATGAAAGGGGAGGATCACTGTTACATTTTAATGTCTGTCGGCCGTAGCTGTAATTTCACACCCACGCCCGGGCTGTGTCCCGGCCCGCAGTTTTCCTTAGCGGGGAGAGGAGAACGGAGAGCTAGGTATTGTTAGCATAGCGGGGTAGTCTTTTTCACCTCCAGCCCCACCTCACAACTTGAGTAAGCCTTAGTCTCCGGTCTTCTCATGAATACATGTGGCTGTTAAGGAACGATACAGGACACAACCACAGTCCAAACTTAAAGCCTATCCTCTAGTAAAGCAAAACGTTACACCGGAGTTGCATTGTACCTGTGTAAATACATATGTAGAACCGTAGAAGTACGTACACTTAATTTTCAGTGTGGAAAGCCATAAATTCTCAATGTGATTGCATTCATACCTGCCTTGTGCAAGTAAAGATAATAATTATCTCATTATTATAATAATTATCTAACAATTAGATAAATCAAGAGCTAATAATAAACATTAGCATCGTAGAGAAATCCTTTGTGGTATAGATCAATGGTATTTGATTCTATAGCAGGAACCTATCAAAGGCTGCTTTATGTATGAGTGGAGGTAAAATGGCCGTCTTTCGCAGGGGCTCCACGGACATCACAGGGAAGATCCCTGGTAGGGTTGAGCGTCACGTGAGCAAACGGCGGCCCTCGGAAATACCAAGCAAGTCATTTAGCGAGGGGTTAAAAAAGGTGAGGGATGTTTTAATTCCGTACCTTTCCCCGTTAATTGAGGCAATTGAGTTATCAGAAGCAGTCGGTGGAGAGCACAGAGGTGGCGTTCACCCGGCAGGGAAAGCCGAACAGAGTGGCAGAAATGTCTAAGAATAACAAACTTGGAAAAGAAATGCTCTTAATTTGCGAACATCAGGGGGTACATCGCCTCAGAAGGGAAGACCCAGAAGAGTTTTTGAATTCCAGTCAGAGGTACGCACTGATTAGATTTCAGTGTTGAAGACGTCTAATGCTCGTTGCTCATTCCTTTAATATGCAAATCTTAGGTATGCAAAGATATGCTGCTTTTATTTAAGAAATATGTCCTCGGGTGATAATGGTGTGCTTCTGGGAAGAATTCTGTTTTTAGAATAAAATAAATAGTTATTAAAAGGATCACATGAGTTTGTATCTTAGAAGATGAAAAGCTAATTGACATGAATAATTTATTGTGATGCGATATTTTATAGAAATCAAACAGGGAAGGAATTAAATAAAAAATTCAAACATTTCATCTGGAAGATGCTCGCATTATGAAGGAGCTCATATTCATATTCATAAGAGATAATTTAATGTGGATTATTAATGTCCTTGACACCGTGTACCAGACGGGTCCTGAGGTGAGCGAGCAGTATTTACCAGACCGGGGTGTGTGGAAAGTATTCAAATGCATCTAAATAGTTTTCCCCTTTTCTACCTTTTTAAGGAAGTTGAATCTTGCGTTGCGCAGCTGTTTGGCCTTTGAACAGAAATATGCCCCATTTCTCACGATGACTCAATTCCCATCAGGCCTCAAATCCGTTTTCGGCCCATAAGGATATATGCAGTCATCGCTGTGGGGTTGTACAAAGGCTATCCTTGAACAAGAAGTGAGAGGAGTGAGGTTTAGAGATTACTGAATACTGAACTCTGTATGCTGTATATATAGCTGTTATTGCATATTTACCATATCTAATTGGTTGGTATTCTAATTGTTGTGATTCATAATGAGTCGTTGAACACACCACACCACAAATTAAGTCACAAAGAGCTGTGAACGGAACAATACGGATAATGTGTCGATCTTAATGTGAGCGATGTCAGTCACACTGTCATTCAGTGCCATTGTGAGTTATATGTTATTAAATATGATTTAAATAAAATTGTTTCTGTTGTATGAAATTGTGTTTTGAAATGTGGTATCTTGGAAGGTCTTTTAATTTGATAATAGACTATCAGAAGGAGATTAGTTATACCCTTTCCATGCTGTCAAGGAGTACCTGGATTTTTGCTGGGTTTGCCTTCAGTAAAAATGGGTCTTCAAATGTTACTGCAATATGTTCCTGGTTCAGGAAAGGGGCCTGTTTTTCTGTAAATGCAAACTTAGCATTCAGTATTTACATGAAAATCATTGCTCCTCAGAAGCCAGCTAACTGTAATGGCCATATCCATGAAACCATAACCTTGACAATTGGCAAGATTCCTGAATGTTGGAAGAGGTTAGAACTCAGAGGTCATGTGACAAGTAACCCTTGGATTGCTGTGGTGTTGTATAAATGGGGGAAAAAACAGAAAATACCTGGTATTACAGTCTATCATACATGTGGTATGAAAGGGAAAAACATACCTTCAAATCCCAGATAGAATCCAGGTTACTTTGAATGCAGGCAAGTGTGCAAGTAGATGACAGTCCTTAGGGTGTATTTGTGTAATAGATATACATGTTTATGTAATAGATATATGGTACAGTAGTCTGTATAATATGCATCAGTGGCCTTATTAAAACATGCCTGCTGGTGTATGTACAAGCAAACACTTTCTATTGATCTTCTCCCATGAGTAGGTACGTTAAAATCCTTTTTTTTCCCTCAGAATTCTTCCTTTGTGTATGGCTTCCTATGTATTTGACTTTTAAACCGTGCAATAACGCGTATCTGTTCCATCCATGCATATCTGCTATTGGGTTGTTTCAGCAGCAAATAAAGAATCGTTCGCATCGCGCGCATGAGCTGAGAAACTGCGTGAGAAATGGTAGATAGGTACAGCAGAGGTCAGAAATGAACCCTACTGAAATGAATGTCACCTCACAGCATCATCTTTGGGGTCAGCGAATGGGATTTGTGTTTAAGTCTCTGAAATGCCTCGCGTAGGATGGGGTTTCCCTGGTGATTCAGCGTGTGTAGGTGTGGACCACATATCCATCTCCAGAAACCAGTCTTTGGAGTAGTACAGTATCAGCTCGTCGCAGATCTTTTGATGGGTCATGAAATGGAACATAACTAGTGACTAATGAACTTGTTTGGTTTGAGTCCGATGCGGGGAATCACCAAAAGAAGCTTTATTTTGCCTAAAATATGGAAGAAGCCCTTTTCTTTTACCCTTTTTCTGTAAGCTTTTTTTCTGCTGCGTATCCTGTAAAAGTTGAGGCATTGTATTGTGGAGCAATTTGTGTTGGATTGACATCCACATGTTCTTAATTCTTGCCTAGGAATGTCCTTCATAGTTATGCATTTATAATTTTGTCTCTGGATAACTCATCAAAGAATAACATTCTGTTGTTAATGAATTAACAGACTGTGAAATTTTGTGATTTATGGGGATTATTTTACAAAAGTTAATGGAGTATTAGTATAGTGTAATATTCTGCCAATAATATTGTGGTGTTTTTTTCTTAAACAGCTGAAAAGTACAATGTTAACTTGTTGAGTTCATGAAAGTATCGTCGAATAAGTTGCTTGCAGACAGAAGACCTTGAATGACGATTATTCAAATGGATGTTGTGAATCATATTAAAACTTAAAAAAGGTCACAGAATTTCTTTGTATGTAGAAACACATATATTAATGTAATTACACAGGCCTAAACTTTGTTTTTTAGTACTTGACATGCTCGTAGTTTTGTTTTCACATGTACCATTAAAAATCTTGACCCGATAATTACTTACCATGATTAATCAAGATAGGTTTTTTTGAATTTTCCAACAGCAAAAAAAAACAAATGTCATCAATGTTTTTATATTGACCAACTTTTTTTAAATGGAAAAGACACAACAGAAAAGTTTCTTGAAATATGCTGTTAGCAGAAAATCATATCCCAGAATTATATCAATTTGATCTTCAATGTGCATTGTCACGATTAAATTGTGTAACCAGACCTCTGGTTTTTGCTAGTTCCTTCTGCGACACAATATTTATTGTGTTACGAATGTATGTAGCCCTAATGTTTCAGAGTGTACACAGAATGGGAAGTCAGTTTATTGGTTTCCTGAATAATTTGACAATTTATAAATAAAAACGAATGCTAGCTTAGTTCTCATTTCCATTGTGGGGCAAACAGGGCTAGTTGCTTCTCTCTCCCTGTGTCAGTATGATAATGCTCCCCCATAATAGCAGTGTACCCCCAAAATCATTGCCTTTGTCCCTTTTCTCAAAATTGATATCCTACTCTGTTGATGTAATGAGTTAATTCGGTGTCTGTGTGTTCCTTACCGAAGATTCCCACCCATGACTGTGTTACTGATTGAGGCCTTCTATGGAGGCTCCCACAAGCAACTGATAGACCTTCTACAGGAAGAGCTTGAGGACTGCGCCACATACACGCTTCCTGCAAAGAAATGGCACTGGAGAGCCAGGACTGCGGCAATCTACTTCATGCAGGCTATTCCAGCCAGCCCGTCCTACAGGTGAGCATTACATTATGTTACAGTCATTTAGCTGACGTTTTTATTCATCCAAAGCTCTAGTTTCTCTCTTTTTGTTTCTTTTTGGCATCAGTAGCATGGCTATTTTGTTGGAGAAAACTGCATTTCGCACAATGAAATTCTAGAAATGGAGGAAAACAGAGAAGATTTGGAACTACTTTGGGTTTGATCTGTGAGGACCTGCCGTTCATGCTTTGCTATCAGGCTAACAGCTGTGATTTAAGGGGAATTATTCACATCTT